GCTGCCAAGAAGTTGCTGAGCTGCTGTGTGGCCGCAGCGTTTCTCAACTCCGGCGTGTTGTCACTTCACATCCAGATATTTCCTGCCATCTAACCTCAAGCTTTATCTTCCCCATTTTCAGCTTCCTCTTGAAAAGCGGAGCGGCCTCCCTTCAAAACAAGCCACCCTTCCTTTGGGCAAGACCTCCGCCCGCTCTTCAGCTCCGCTCGACAGGAGGTCCTTCCTTGGTGCAGGTGGAGTGGCTTCGTCTGCTTCGGAGACAAGTAGCGTATAGGCTTCTGTCGCATCCTCTCCGGGTCTCGGCTGGCCACTCTTTCCGTGGGGCGTCCATGGGGAGATGAGGGCTTGGAGAATGAGCTTCTGAGGTGAGACACAGATGGTCTTCTTCTGTTCCTTTTGCCCCTCTTGATCGCTTGTTTCTTTTCTGTTGATGAGACAGTATAGAAACCTACCGATCTGTTTGATGGAGGTGAAAATGGAAGGAGTCTCTATACGCTCAGAACCATTTTCAGTGAATCAAGGCTGGAGACAACCCATGCCTTAATTCAAGGAAGGGACAATAATTTTAAAGAGAGGTTTCCAGGAGCTCCTTCTACTTTTGAGCAGGATTTTCTGTGCAAAATAGATTTGCTCTGGGTAACAGCCGGGTGGTAGACGTTTCACCAGTAGCTCACGGACAGCTAGGGGTAGCGTGTCTCCCCACAGCTGGGGGTTTAACACCACCGGCTCCTCCTGACAAATGCATAGGAGGAGAAGCTAACTTCTGCTCTCTCTTTTTTTAAAGGCCCCTCTTTCACCCTACAAACCTAATCTCAGTCTTCAAACTTCTGAAGTTTCTGGAAAAAAGGAACCGCCATGTTTCTAGCAAATAAACCACCAAAACGAAGACAATTATTTTTTTGTTTCGGTTTGCGCCAACTGCAGTTGGACCTATTGGTGTTCTGTCTCCCAGACAGCTGTCTATCACGGGTATCCATAGCTGTTCTGTCTCCCAGACAGCTGTCTATCACAGGTATCCATACCCAAACATATTTGTTTGTTTGTTTGTTTTCTGCCCCCCCCTTAGTGCAATACATTTTCCTAAAATTCTAATTCTAAAAATAAAACACCCGTTTGCAAATAAAAAGGAGTTTAATTTTCCTGGCTTTTCAAATCGTCCACCCAACCTTCTCCCTAGTCCACTTTAACTTGCATGTTGGCTTGGTTTATAATGGGCGCCCAGCTGGCACTCTCTCTTCTTCTTCCTAGAATTTAGCCTGAAATATAGGATTGCCTCTTTTTTACCTGTTCCGTTTGAATGACTTGAAGCAGCCATGGGCGCCCTTGTTTCAATTAACCTGGGCTGTATCTTCTCACTTCCTACTTGATTTGTGGGTCTTAGCAGCAGAAACGAAAGTCAAAATGTTTTTGTGTGTGTGTTTCTAGTATCTCAGAGGGAAGAGGAACAAATTTCAGAGCACTTTATGATAGAAATCATCCAACAGATTTTTTTATATAAAAAAAAATAGTGTACTAGTGTTTATGATAGAAATCATCCAACAGATTTTTAAAAAAAAAAATTAGTGTACTAGTGTACTAATAATAATGTACACTGTCAAGTCAGTTCTGACTCATGACAACCCTTTTCCAGGGTTTTCTAGGTAGAGAATATGTTAAAGTGATTTGCCCTTCCCTTCTTCTTAGGTTTGAAACTCTTCTCTCCGGGACACTCTTAACACTGGGATTTAATAGGTTTTCTAGGTAGAGAATACATTGAAGTGATTTGTCCTTCCCTTCTCCTTAGGTTTAAAACTCTTCTCTCTGGGACACTCTTAACACTGGGATTTAATCTGCCTTTGAGAAGTTTTAACTTCTCTTTTAATGTGATCCTGGGTCACGTGGAGCTGAAAGGACAGTCAGAAGCGGTAAAGGGTGCTGATGGTAGCCGTTGTCAAAGCAGCATTCCTGTTGGGCTGTTTTGTGCCACAAAATCAAAAATAAAACAAAACTGAAATATTGTGACACTTCCCAGGCCAAGAGTTTTAGGGAAGATTCAGCTGGCTCTGGAATAAACCCGCTAGACTTAAAGGCACCATCGTAGGGCCCATAGCTTTGGCTTGTACAGTATTCGCTTTGTGATAGAAGAAGATAAAAGTGGAGGGAAGAAAAGTAGAGAACCACTTTGTAGCCAACCTGGAAGTTTTCAGGTCCAAAGTGAGCATTCTGGGATTATAGAGTCCTTTAGGTCTCTGGCTATGGAGCCAGAATTTGAGAGTTCGATTCCCCTCTGTGCCTTCCTGGGAGAAGAGCCAGCCTGTGTAGCCTTGGGCAAGCTGCACAGAAGGAGGGAATGGTAAACCATGTTTGAATACTCTCTACCTACAAACCCTGGAAGGGGTTGCCATAAATCAGAATCACGTTGATGGCACACAATTAAATTAAGTACAAGAATACTCAGAGATCCTCTCAGCTGGGAGTAAACTCTGGAAAACTCTGCAAGAATTGACTAAACAGCAGACAGAGCTGTGAATGGGTTACCTGAAGGATACACATTGCATTTTCACACACATTTGAAGGTTCAAAAGTCAGGATCTGGTGGATCTAAAGGCCAAACTAGAAGTTAAGAATAACCTTCCAGAACTACGACTAGTAAAAGAATATTTATACACCTCCACGAGAACCATGTTGATGTTCATGTAAGGGTTGCATGACTTGTTGAGACTAATTGCCTCTAATTGATGGGGCACAAACGCCTCTGACCCTCACCAATTAGCTGCAGCAAATAGTGCAAACCTAATACAAATAGCAGATGTATTCCCCTCCCCAATAAGCTGTAGGAAACAGAAATGCAAGGATTTTAGGGAGCTTTTATGTCATGCCAGGAAAAAGGCAGTACAAGCCAACGGTCTCCACAAGTTGCTTCTTAGAATTTATTGTCCTAAAAGATGAGAGATTCGCCTGTGCCTCATTGAGATTCCTGTCTTGTTTCTTTCTTTCTTTCTTTCTTTCTTTCTTTCTTTCTTTCTTTCTTTCTTTCTTTTCTTTTTCTTTTTCTTTTTTTGGATCTAGGAATTTGCCTCGCCACATGTACCACCATCCACATTCGAGGAGAGCCGGCCGCAGCGCTGCCCTCCGTGTATTTGACGAGCTGATTTGACACTCCGTGTGGCAGGGTGTCAGTTTGTCAAATATACAAAGGGCGGCGTTTGCACAGCAGCGCCCAGCGCCTGCCAAGAGGGAGATGCAGCCGGACTGCAGGCCCCCCCACCTTCTGCAGGAGATGCCGAGGACCCTGGAGGAGGCAAGGAGCTCAGGAAACAGCAACATCTCAGGTTTTGTCCCGTAGCAACCAGGTACTTGTAGGATTACAACACCCAGCATCCACAAACCAGTAGCCCCCCCTCCCTCAACAAATTACCAGTTCTATCCTCAACCACTATTGATTGAGATCCCGTGCTTGCGAACCTGTTGTGTGAAGACCTGGTTATTTTATCAAAGTGATCGCCTGTCGACCTGTCCAAATAACAATGACTAGGTGCCCATAATTCTGACTTATGGCAACCCTTCCCGGGCTTTTCTCTCAGTACTGGGATAATTCTGACTTATGGCAACCCTTCCCAGGCTTTTCTCTCGGTACTGGGAACTCAGAAGTGGTTTCCCCTTCCCTTCCTCTAGGGGCGCTCTCAGATCCCTGTGCAGCTGGCCCAAGGCCACCCTGGCTGGCTCTTTTCCTGGGAGGCCCAGTGGAGGGAATGGAACTCCCAACTTCTGGTTCACTGAGCGATCTGGCCAGCTCACATGGGAGGCAAGGAAATAAAACCCTTTTTGGGTGCCCAGGTCACGGTAGCTCCTTGAGCCGGGGTTGGGGTTGCAGGGTACGGATGATCCTCCTTACAACACCACACCTTAAAAGGGACCCTGGCCAGCTGGACTCAGATGCTTCCCCAAGATGGGCGTGCTTTCCTCCTGGTATATCATGTCCATGTCAACCATCTTACCCAATAAACAGCTTTTAATGCCTCTGTGGCTTTTTGTCTTCATCAGCGCTCCATGGACGAGTCCCTGCTGGGGTTCTGACGGGTCCAAAGCCACCAGTTTCCCTCAGTCCCTCCTTGTGGACCTCCACCCCACAATCCCATGCCCGATTATGTGTGTCAGAAAGGGCAGGTTAAGGAGGAAGAGAAAGTAGCAGCAGCAGCAGCAGCAGGAGAGATATCTCTGTCTCCTTTCATGGCGGAAAGTTCAGTTCATCACAGAACTGTATGGATGGTGCACACAAAGCTCATCTAGTCTGACCCCAACACGCCCCCAGCCAATGCCACACTAAAGCAAATCTCGGCTCAGCCACCCCTGCCCCTCTGTGACCCTCGCTGTTCCACCCTAGTGAGGGCCCCATGGCAGACCGCCCGCCAAAGCAACAATGCATTTGTGTCTCTCTCTCTGTGTGAGAGAGACAGACCCAGGTTTTTAGCTGGATTTTACCTGGATTCCCTTCATGCTTATTTCCACACATCGGTTGGGCTAGAAGAAGCTCCAGACAACTCCCAACCCATCCTTAACCCCCACAACATCACACATACCACTCCCTGGTCCCCTGTTTTACCCCTGAAATACTCAAGGAATCGGGGTGCAGGTGACCTGGCAAACTTTGGAAATCCTGGCGGTTGTAGAAAGAATCCACAATATGAATCAGGTGAATCAGGCCCCAGTGTGGGAATGCTGCAACGTTACAAAGACACTTAAGAGTTAGGTGAAATATGTGGCAATAAACCCTCCATCACAGCAAGATTTCTGCCCCAATCTAGAGTCCAAATTGCGCTAGATATGAGCAAAGATAGGTTTTTCATACTAATGCCCACAGTGGACCCCTCTTTTTCTCCTCTAAACCTTCAGCGAAATAAGGGACAACAGAAGCAGTTGCATAGATGACATTTCAATAGATGACTTGGTCTTCCATACAACGAATCAAGTCATCCATGCTGCAAAATAAGGGGTGAAGAAAAATATTTTAAAAGCATGCGTCTGGCTAAAATGTTTATTGTGCATGTAAAAGTTGAAATTGTTAATGTCAGACAGAAGGGGGAGTATTAGCACAAGAAATTTGAGCAATAGTAGAATATTAAACTTTTTTTTTTTTTGCTAATGAAGGTAGTATTAAAATACTTCTAGTCATTCCCTATTTAAAGTGCAGCTCATAATACCAACAGTAAAAACAAGCAAGCAGCAACAATAGAGGGACCGATACTAGGCAAGCCACGGTGATAATCAGTATCTCTGGCAACACACATTGTAATATTCAGAACTGACATTATAGATGGTTTGACATTAGAAGAGCAGGTTCTGCCAATGCTGAAAGCATCTGAATGCACAACACACTCCTTTCTCACCTCGTCAAGATTGCTAATTAGTTTGCTTTGCCTCACCCTGTTCCCATTAGAATCACAGAATCACGGATTCAGAAGGGGCTGAGAAGGCCATCCAGTCCCACCCTCCTGCTCAAGGCAGGAATCCAAACCTGCCAGGATTAAGGACCCCCTGGCTGTTTTCACACATGTTGTAGTACAAGCGTTGTGACTTTCTCCACCCATCAGTCAAAATATCAAAACGGCATGGAAAGAAGCTCTCGCAAAGCAGCCAGCCTCGCTCTGTGGATGCATGACGTCCCGGTTGATTTCATCAGCCCTCCTGGCACCCTTTCCCCGTGCCAGGCTTCGCTGTGTAATGTCCGTCTCTGTGTGTTGCACAATAAATACAGAAAGAAGATCTAGGTTTCTAGTCCTTAGGACAGCAAAGAGAGGCTGACAGGTGCATGGAGAAAGTCTTGGTAGACTTCAAAAGCCAGGGAGGAGCAGTAAGATGAAAAGGTGGTGGGGGTCTCCTGCCTTTCCAGAAAGAGATGGGAGAAGAGGAATTCTTCCCCCCCCCCACGGGAAATATTAGAAGTTCAGCTACGGCAGCTCTGCTCCAAATGGGGCCATGCCAGGTCCTCATTTGACCCCTCCCACTTCATACTCCGATTCCATCTTGTTCACAAGGAACTCGTATTCATTATCGGCCTTCATGACCACGTAATCGCTGTCCTTGGCTGGCTCCACGGTGTAGTTGTTATGAACTCTGGGGGCGGGCTGCTCGTAGAGACCTTCTTCACACTGGCCCCTGGTGGCGACTTCCATGGGGTTGTTATTGCTGAAACAGAGAGCAAATCATCACAAAAATCGAGAGGGGAAGGGTGGCTTTCGTTTACTCTTGAAACAACCTGGAGGTTTTCTTTATTCCTTTCTTCCATGGATTTACACCTTGCTTTTCTCCTGGCATGAAGCTGGGGACAGTGCCATTCAAAGAGCAATGGGTTAGGAAGGCTAAAATGAAATTAAGCTGATCATTGCATTCAAATGGAAAACAGTTAAAGTGGTATTAAGGGGTCAAAGACTTAGCAAAGCATGGTTTTCTAGAGGTCAAAGGAGGAGGAGTTTTGCACTTCCCCCTTCTGCACTTTGCTCTTTTGCAGTGCCTTGCATGTCCCGTCTCAAAGATCTGTGAACACCCAGAGCACAATATGTCTTTTCTGCTCTGGACTTCCTCTTTTTTAAAAAAGCGCAAAGGATAGCATGGTGTCATTTGTTTTCCACTGCACAAATTAGCCTCATCCATCTTGTCCTATCTGAATAGAGAACAAATCTTTCAACAAGAAGGCAGCCTGTTTACGGCATCCCCCATTGGCAAATTTGGATTATTTAAAAGGACTGAAGCTCATTTGCCCTCCCTCTGCCAGAAAATTATCAAAGGGCTGACTCCATATCTAGAAGCACCTCATCCTTTCAAGATTGTCTATTTGTTCCAACCCAAGGCTCTGTTCTCATCAGGCAAACAAGCTCAGTTTGGTTTCGTGACGGATCACTTGGAAGAGAACATGGCTTGGCTTGCAGATGTGATGGCTCAGGCACATAGCACTGAACGATTTGCGTGCTCGGAGGGATAACCTTGTAAGAGGAGGAAATACGTGTTTGCCTTCCCGTGTGATCTGACTCTAAGCGACATCAGGTATTTTATTGGCGGCTCAATCAGTCCCCTTTCATCCTTCAGAGCTATTTGTAGGCAGAAACATTCATGCATGGCAGGATTTCTCCAGCAGGAGAGGAGCACTTACTATGCCACTTCATAGGTGTGATCTGAAAAAGAAAGAACATTGCTTTATGAGACCATTTCCTCCCAGAAGGGCCAGCGCTGGGCTGGTGCAGCTCTGGATGGAACCTTTCCTAAGCATTCACAAACTGCAACATTTCATTGATCAATCTATCTATCTATCTATCTATCTATCTATCTATCTATCTATCTATCTATCTATCTATCTATCTATCTATCTATCTATCTATCTATCTATCTATCTATCTATCTATCTATCTATCTACAGTGCATTCAAATAAAATCAATAATGTAGGAACATGCAACACAACATTAAACCAGCACTGTGGGGAGAGGGAGGGAGGAAAGCTCCTTTGGCTTTCATTAAACAACATCCAACTCACCGCCCTTGGTCCTCCTTCTGCAGAAAACAACAGATAAGACCACAAGCAGCAGAGCCACAGAGAGCACAGCGATGACAATGATGATGTAAAGAGGGAGGCCGGCCTCCCGAGAAGCTGAAACAACACAGTTTTCAATTTGTTTGTGTGTTTTTTTTTTAAGAGTTACACTTTTGTTTGATTTTTTTAATCTATAAAGAGGGATGGATGGGGTATTCATCAGTGGCGGCTGGTGACTCCAATTCCAGGGGAGCTGGGAATCCACTCCACGTTTTAGCCTATACTTTACAGGAGCTGTCCAAAGTGCTGAACTAATTCCCCTGCATAGGTTCAGCAATTTGGATCACTCCAGCGAAGAGCAAATTAAAGCCCTCCGAAACTTCAGCCACCTGCTATTGCTGGCATGAATCCAGTGCTGATAACCGGATGGGGTTTGAAATGGACACTGCTTGACATGGCCTCTATGGTGGGATGCCCAACAAAAGTAGTATACATTGCTTTAAAAACAAGCAAACGAAAACCAAAACCTACCATTTCCAAAGAAATGTAGCAAACAGAGTGAGTTTTAAGAAAGCAAAAACAAGCCCTCTGCCCCCCCTTACAATTCTGGGAATTATAGCTCAGATTCTGGGTGCTGTCGTTCAAAACACAAATGGGGAAATCACATTTTTAATGCTTCACGTTAAAATAGAAAGCAGTAGAGTAAGAAAACCTATGGGCCATCCCCTCTCTACCCCCTCCCCAGCCATCCTCCAATAGTCTCTCTCCTTTTTAACTTATCGGAAGTACTTTAAAAAGATAGATACGAGATGCATTTGAAGGTGGGCCTCTCTCCTGCAGTCTGTGCTGGAGCCATTCGTTGGTCCAGCCTGTCCCCTTGCCTTCCAACCCTCTACATGGGCAGAGGATCCACTTGGTTACACAGCCCCACTTCCCACTCTGGTGCTCAGCCTCTCATTTTGCTGAATTTACCATTCCTTCTCAAAGTGTTTTGATGGTCTTCAGTGGTTGACGAAGCAGCTCCTGGATCTGAAAAAAAAAATCAACCCAATGGTCCCAGTTCACCAGAAAGAAAAGGAAGCCAGTTTCCACCTGAGACACAAAGGCAGACCTGGTCCCATCCTCCTACCTATAAACAAAGGTTAGGACCTCTTCATCTGCCCGGGGTGCATCTGCACAGCTGAGGCTGGACCCAAAGTCCACCCAGAGACCCTCAGGGGAGGGGACCGGCAAGGACAGTCCCTCGCACCCAACTCCTTGGCTGCAAGGGACAGGATCATGGCCACACTGGTGGATGCTGGCTGGCACCCTATTCATCCTTCCTTGTTCCTTAATACTCAGGGACCGGCAAGGACAGTCCCTCGCACCCAGCTCCTTGGCTGCAAGGGACAGGGCCACACTGGTGGATGCTGGCTGGCACCTTATTCATCCTTCCTTGTTCCTTAATACTCGTTTTATAGTCCAGGAACACTTGACTGGACATGCCTACGGTGACAGCTATTTGTGTTCTTATTTTGATTTTAAAACTAGAGTATCCTTTTGTACAGCAAAGGTAAAGGTAAAGGTTCCCCTTGACATTTTTAGTTCAGTCGTGTCTGACTCTAGGGGGTGGTGCTCATCCCATTTTGAAACCGTAGAACCAGCGCTTGTCCGAAGACAGTTTTCCCTTGTCACATGGCCAGCGTGACTAAGGAATGGTGTTTTAGCTTCCCACCGAGGTGGTACCTATTTATCTACTTGCATTTGCATGCTTTCAAACTGCTAGGCTGGCGAGGAGCTGGGACAAAGTGACGGGAGCTCACTCCGTTCTGCAGATTCAATCTTACGACTGCTGGTCTTCTGACCCTGCAGCACAGAGGCTTCTGTGGTTTAGCCTGCAGCACCACCACGCTTAAAAAAAGGTTCCTTGGAAGGAAACAGCTCTGTAACCACAGCTGGGGTGATGACACTTCCAAGTAAGAAACGGCACCTGCACAGAATTTGTTATCATCTTTCATTCTTTCTATTTTTTTTTTTCATTCAGGTTTACAGACTGTTCATTTCGCTGTTGCTTGACTCCTGTGCTTCGGAGCTATCCTATGGAAGAGAGGGGAGGCTGGAGTTTTAATTGTCTCTTTCGGGGAGTCCTCCTGATTCCCCAGCCAGAGAAAGGAATATTCTTGGTAACTCGTAACAGAAGCAATACTCTCCGCCATCTCGAGGTGGGGCCCAAGATGCTTCAAAAAGGAAGCGAAATTCTCTGCGTGCAAAGGCTGCATCGAACCCAGGCCAAACCTCTTCCCTTTGAGGGTTCTTTCTGTCCAGGCAGGAGTGGCCAGAGGTGGAACATGCACTCAAACCAAGCGGCTTCGCGCTGTTTCACCACCGAATGCCGACAGGCACATTCGCACGCTTCCTGCAAATTTCAGCACCCTGGACCAAGACTCTGTTTCTTCTGCCTAGATTCCTCACTGCCTCATATTAAGACCCAATTTTTCAAAAGACCTCCGGTTGATGAATGTGGGATAGTGTGCTTCTGTACCCACAGTTCAAAAAGCCAGGGAATGGCACAATATTATGCCCACATTGCCAGCAGGAAAGAACTTCGCACGCTTCCTGCAAATTTCAGCACCCTGGACCAAGACTCTGTTTCTTCTGCCTAGATTCCTCACTGCCTCATATTAAGACCCAATTTTTCAAAAGACCTCCGGTTGATGAATGTGGGATAGTGTGCTTCTGTACCCACAGTTCAAAAAGCCAGGGAATGGCACAATATTATGCCCACATTACCAGCAGGAAAGAAAGGATGCTAAGCTTTACATACCAAAGAGCAGCCTGAATGAAGAATCACATAAATTCTTCCACAATAGACTGATATGGCCTTCTATGAGGTGTTGCCTTACCCAGGGCTCGGTTAGCAAACCCTACAAGCCTTAGCCAAAGCACTGGTCTCACTTGACACAGGAACGTAGCATGGCGGTTCCTCACCCTTTTCTGTGCTGGCCCATCGTGGGATGAGAGGGCCAGCTGTCGCTTGGGCTTTAAATTTCTGTTCTCTAGTATCTCCTCCAGCAACAAACACATAAGAGGACAGGTGCCAACAGACGGCAGAAATGGATGAAGTCTCGTTTGGAAATAAAAAGAAATCTTACCTATCCCAATGGTAGTACTTTGTTTGAACTCGGTGCTCGGCCAATGAGTCGATAATGGCGGAGAATCTACAAGAGAAAGAACCATCTCTGACGTTTCAGCTCTCTCTGGCTATTCAAACCCCTGCCCAGAATTATAAAATAGAAGGCTCTGGAGGGAAAGGATCAGAAACCTGAGTTCGTCACAGCTGGCCTTTATCCCAATAATGCAGTGGTTCCCTACCTTGATTTCCCAGATGTTTCCGGACTGCAACTCCCAGAAAACCTGGCCAGCGCACCAATGGCTGAAGGCTTCTGGGAGTTCAAGTCCAAGAACATCTGGAGAACCTAAGTAGGGAACCACTGCAATAAATGGTTAATTCCAGAACAATTCCAATAAAAAACCAGCAGCTACCCATTTCAATATATCTCTGAGTGCAAACTCTGGACTCTACGGAACTACTAGCGATGCCTCACCCTTCGGCGTGCTGGTGCTTGTCTCAAACCCGGCACTCGGCCAATGAGTCGATAATGGCGGAGAATCTACAAGAGAAAGAACCATTCCCAACTCAGCTCTTTCTGACTATTCAGAACTACTAGCGATGCCTCACCCTTCGGCGCGCTGGTGCTTGTCTCAAACTCGGCGCTCGGCCAATGAGTCGATAATGGCAGAGAATCTACAAGAGAAAGAACCAGCCCCGACATTTCAGCTCTTTCTGACTATTTGAACCCCTGCTAAGCATTAGAGCTTAGAGGTTATCTCATAAATGCTGCTTTTAACTTTCAGGTTTAAATGGCTTTTAATTCCTTTTTAACTTCATTTAAAAACCATAGTATGTACTTATTTTTTAAAAATAAAAAGGATATTTATACATTGCATTTTCAAGCTGTCGTTTCACATTTTGTGAGTTGCCCTGGATTCCCTACGGGGTTAAAGGTGGCTTAGAAAATAAATAATCATCTTCTGCCCTTACCTTCATCTACCCTTAGCTCCACAACATCGCTCCGCTCCTTTCGTGTTCCGACCTTGTTTTCCACCTCACAGTAGTATCTTCCTGCATCGGAGGCTTGCAGTGGGTCAAAGGTCAGAACGGCCCCGGTCCCGATGCGTTCCGGATGATCTCCTGGCACCTCCTTGTACCACCGATATATGATGGGTGGAGAGCCATTGGCTGAGCATTCCAGGCTGGTTCTTGTCCCCCTGGGCAGGGCGGATCCCTGGCTACTGGACTGGACGACTGGCTTGCTCACTGGAACTGGAGGGCAAAAGAGGAGCTCCGATCCATCAAAGGGCTGAGGCTGGGAAGGGCTCAACACAGACATGTCCAAGCTGACACAAGATGGGGTTGGAAAGCAAGGGAAGGGATGTGAACGAAGGCAGGACCGGCCAGGAAGCTGTCGGGATCAACAAGCCCTTAACCTTTTTTTCCTTGTAAAGAAAAGCAAAGGCTCAAGGGAGCAGATCCGAGGAATCTTAGAACGGCCAAGTTGGAAGGGACCCCATGGATCATGGAGTCCCGTCCCTATTAAGGAGGCACCCTGGGGGTATCGAACTCCCAACCGCTGGCTCCACAGCCAGAGACCTAAATCCCTGAGCTATCCAGATGTTTGGGCAACACCTAAACCTTGCGGGAATCACTCTGGTTTTCTGGCTGACCTATCAGGAGGACCAGTGCGAGAGTCAGAAGGGAGAAATTATGGTTTCATTGTGTGCAAGGTGGATTTCCAGGTTGGGCAACCATCTCCTGTTCCTCGCTGATGTCCGTGTTCACGTGCTAACTCATCTGTTGTGTTTGTTTCCCCATCCTTGCTTGCCACATCTCTGTGACATGACAAAGACTTGTCCTTTGGTCTGAGGCGGCCTTGAAAGCTCCAGGCACAGCTGTGCTGCCTCCCACCCAACCCCAAACATCCCTTTCCACTGACTTTTTGGGATGAAACACTGCACCCTTGCTCATCCCACTCATGGCAAAAAGCTCAAAGACATTCTCCCATGCCACCCAACACCATATCCTCAGTCAAAACAACACTGGTGGGCACACTGGACAGCTTTCCTCTCTCTTTCTTGTTGCCATTCACTTTTATGTGGTCAGCCAGTGAGTGGCTCCAGTTTCTGAGAATCCCGTCTGCTTCTTTGTTTCCACTTTATAGGAATGCTGGATCTGTTTGGGGAAGATAAGGCGCTGAACCTGTTTCAAGGTTCAGCATCCTTGGAAAAGTCCTGTAGAGTGCAGATTAAAACCCAGACTGGATTCACAGCACTGCTGGAACTGGAGTCAGACTCTGCATATTTCTGGTTATGATTTACTTCTTTGTCAGTTTCATTGAGTTTATGCACTTAAAATTATGTTCCTCGTGTTGTGAATCTTGAAGCAAACTACAACATCTCTAAATAAATCCTACAGAAATTATTCAAGACTGAACACATGCATACAGCCATTCTTGAAAATTCAGAGCCCGCGAGCCCAGTCCACAGACCACTGTTCTGTTCTCATGGACCAACAGTACTTACCTTTCACCACCTGGAGCCTGGTGGTCTTCTCTTTGGTTACCCTACTCTTGTTTCGGGCCTCCCAGGTGACCTCACAGGCGTAAGATCCGCTGTCGGTCATTGTCAGTTCCTTGATTTGGAGGGAGACATCTCCTGGGCGCTGCTGGGTCAGGCTGAGTCTGCCCCTGAAAGCCGTCGTGAAGGTTTGACCTCCAGAGTTCAACTCCTGGTCAAAGATGGTCCTAAAGCCACGATTCTGCTGAGATGCTTTCCAGACGACTTTCATCTGTTTGAACTCCGCTGATGGTTCGTATACACACCGCAACGTGACAGCGGCTTTCCAGGTGCCATTGACCACGTGGTCACCAGTGAGCTCAAGGATGGCTGCGGGGAGAGGCAGCAGCAGCAACACAATCAGAAGGAAGCAACAGCATTCAAAAAGTACTTCAATAGAATTGTAGCTCAGAGACCTACTTCATAGGTAGCTGGGGCTGACATTATGTTCCACAGAGGCAGGACTGTTAGAACCAAGGTGAGTAATCATCATCATCATCATCATCATCATCATGTACCATCACACCAATTTAGACTTAGGGCAACCCTTTTCAGGGTCTTCTGGATACAGAATACTCAGAAAACCCTTTTCAGGGTCTTCTGGATACAGAACACTCAGAAGTGTATTACCCTTCGCTTCCTCTAGAGGCACTGTGGGGCGGGGTGCAGTGTATTACCCTTCACTTCCTCTAGGGGCACTGTGGGGCGGGGTGCAGCTGGCCCAAGGCTGCCCAGGCTGGCTCTTCTTCCAGTGGGGGATTTGAACTCCCAACCTCTGGCTCCACAGCCAGAGACCGAAACCACTGAGCTATCCAAGGGAAGCAAACTGCAAAAACAACCTGCTGTTGTTATATGTTGTCAAGTCACTTTCAGTTTACAACAACCTTAATAGGGTTTTCGGGGAATATGTGATGTTCCAAGGAAGGGTTTCACGGCTGCCACTCCCCGAATGTTTCTATGGCCAAGTAGGGATTTGAACCCAGATCTCTTCAGTCCCAGTCCATCGCTCTATCCGCTCCACAAGCTTTGTAAACCAGTGACCGCCTGTTTATCTCCCCCAAATGACACCCCCTCTTTCCCACCCAGCCATGCGCTCTCTCTCTCTCTCAGGGCACCACATCCCACCCCGACAAAGTCACAACCCAAACCTGGAAGAACAAAAAAGAAGATCTGCACCACACCGAGAGTCCGAAAAGCCATTTTAAGAAACTCGCCACCAGGGCAGCCAATGCTTTTATGAGGACGAACCCAAATTCTTGCAATGCGTGCAAATTTGACACCTGGAATGTAAGCTTGCCTTCCAACTGCCAGCCTGTGGGTTTTGGTTCCATTCACCAGATGGTGATTTTGGAGCCATAGCGCGAACAATAAATTCTGGAGATTCAGGAATCATAGTGCAAGAAAGGGAACCATTTCAAGCTCAGGTGATTTGGGTAGAGATAAATATATGCTGAGGATGGAGAGCAGGGGGCAAATTTATGTTGACATTCATGCAACTGGAGCCTCGGTGTCTCTAATCCTGCGGCGTGCCCAGAAGCCACTTTATTCCCCCGTTTTAAAGAAATGTGCTGTGATCTGTCATGGTGGATCAACTCAATAAGATCAGTGTTCCCCAGCCCCTCTGGCTGGTGGCAAGCGGCCCCTCATAACAGCTCAAGCTTCAGGGCCCCCCAAAACGGAGGTCTGCCACTGGTGACGGTGGATGCTCTTGGCACAGTTCAAACCTTCTCCCTTTAGACATGACAGTGAGGCAACCTTTCTTTCCATCGTGTGGGTGTGTTACAAGAGAGGGGAGCAGGGTGACCTCACCCCCCCTTGATGACTCGTCCCCCGGCTGTATCACCCAAACCCACAAAGGCACGGAAACAACGTCATCCCGGCCTCGGTTTCCCCTGCAGTCTCTCTTGGGGAAAGAAAGGGGAAACACACACACGGGGTTGCCGGTTTCTCCACCCTGAGGATTCGCCGCCACTATACCCTCAGCTGGGTGCCCCTTTGCCACCCACTTTTGCAGAGTGAGTCCCCCTCAGCCCCGGGGGATGGGGCTGCAAACTCAGGAGACCGCAAAGTGGGGGACGCTCACAACACCTCTCACCCTCCAGTTCTGTGGGAATGATAGATAACGGCCCTGGGTCCTTTCGCGGAGAAATGCGGGGCTAAAAATATTTGAAATAAATAAACCACAGCACAGCATGAGTCTGCCCAGATTATTTTGTCAAGTAGACCTGTTTTGCTTAATCTTGGATCTAAAAATCACCTCCAGCCTGGATGGTGCAGAAGAAATTGATTTGGCAGAGGGGGCTCTTTCTACGGAAGAAGCCCTGCCCTGCCCTGGGACGCTCTGGGGTTTTAAGTGGGTGTTTGCCATGTTTTAAACAGGAGAGTCAGAGTTTATTTCTTTTTATGACGTTCCTTGTTTCCAGGGGGGGAAATGGGTGAAATCTACCACCTGATGAGCCCCTACAAGGGTTTCCAACTTCTCTCCTATACATCTTAAGAAAGCATGCAGGCAACGTTGGTCTAACATTAAGTTGCACCCTTGCTGTTTTTGTGTAACATCACACTAAGCAACGAACGTAAAAGCTTGCACCAAAGTTTGTGTGCTTTTCAAAAAGATGTAATAGAGACGTAACAGTAACTGAGTGAACAGCTAGAACCGGGTTGAGTATCAGAGCCGATGCCCACATCTCTGGGAGCTTAAAAATGTCATACTAAAAGGTCTCCATCAAAGATCTTCAGGCTGTTTAAGATACCATATTTTTGATCTTAACAGGGGCGTTTCTCACCTAATAACAAAATCCTAGAGCTCCTATTATATCCATGGGAATTGGCATATAGATAAAGAAAGCCACCACGCTGTTGCCAGTCCCAGCTAGGGTAGAGCCACGGACTTGATCAGATTTATGTGTGGCTGTACCATTCTGCAATCAATGGAATGTGTCTGCTCTTAGCCGGGACTAGAAACAGCCAAAATAATTGCTCCGAAGTCACAAATTCACTTTCCAAGCTTTTCACCCTCATCACTTCAGGAGATGCACTCCACCTTCTGACCTAAAACAGCTTTGTTCAAACTTAAATTTTAAAAACTTACTTAAATCTATTATCTACTTAACTTGGGACACATTTAGAGCGAATTACCTGTTTTAACTTTTTTTAAACTCTATCTAATCAACCCTAATTTGTATTTTGTATGTGTGTGTGTTATCAAGCCAATTCTGATTTATGGTGACCCTTTTCCAGAGTTTTTTAGGTTGAAAGTACACAGAAGTGATTTCCCCTTCCCTTCTTCTGGGGGTGCCCTGGGACTCTGCAGCCTGCCCAAGGCCACCCGGGCTGGCTCTCTGTTTAGGAATCTAACTCCCAACTTCTGGCTCTCCAGACACATGCCTAACTCACTGAGCTCTATTAACAACACCCAATCCATAATAGTTAAACAACAAAATGTTGCTTTCATTTCCTCTCTCTGGGGTTAAACAATATTCACAACCCATTTATTTGTACAGAATTAAGGGGAGAGGTTTTGGACTCACCTTTTCCAGAGATGGTTGTCACAAGAACCGAAAGCCACAGCCAGGAAATCTTTCCCATATTTATATAGTTCCACTTTAATGGGACTCTCTTCTGTCCTGTGAGCAGGAGTGAAATAAAGACAACTTCCTTTTCTTGGCTCACTTTGTTATCCTTTCTTTTTTCCTTCCTTCCTTTTTTCCCCCTTCTTCTTCTTTTTAAGTATCTTGCAATGGGCTGAGCATCTCGAAAAAAATTGGAGTGAGCAGATGAGCAGAAGGCGAGCAAGACCTTTTCCTCTATCCATATTTGAAATTTTGTACATATAGAGTGTTCAAATAATGAAGAGGGCAGCAAAGATGCAACCCTGAAACTCTTCCTTGTGCTAAAGAAAATGAGGCTGGAACAGCAGTTTACTAAAAGTCGCTTGTGAAGCAGCCCGTTCTCCTACCGAGCAAAGCAAAATAACATGACCTCACAACAGTATCTCTTTGCTCACTGACTGACAGCTGAACATATAAACAACTGATAAAGGGAAAAACTCTTATTTCATGAAACGCTGAAATGCATTAGTATGACATTTGCGGACATAACAAATTGTTGGGCCCATGATCTAATAATTTGTTCTATAATTTACTCTGGCAGCATCTCACTCATTGTGCAGGTGAACAGACCCAGCCAGTCTAAACAAAAGCAACTCTCTGCCATGGGGGGGGTAACTTGCCAGCTTTGTAACTAACAGGGGCCATACTTTGCCACCCAGGTAAAAACCAAAGAAATCCCATCAAAAATATTCTGACTGTTTCTAGAGGACTGGAATTCACTGACCTGGCAAAAAGGAATTGCTGATAGGTGATGGGAAAGGTAAGCACTGCTAAAGGGTATGAATAGCCATCAGAAAAGACTGGTCAGGCAAAAAGCAGAGGAAGAGAGGAGGGTGACGGTAGCCCATTGGAGTGATCCCAAGGAGAATGAGGAAAAGAACAGGACACAGAACACCCTAGACTTCCAGCCCAAGTTTTTTTATTATTTTTTTGAACACCAAGGGAAAACACTTTATCTCAAATGAGTTCCAAAGAAAGGAAAATAGGCAAGGGGTGAGAGGAGAAGAAGATGCTGACATGAAGGAAAGGAAGGGCACATGCTATCCTGACTCATGGCCACGTTTCACACGCTTGGACCATCTGCACAGGCACTGAGTGCGAGCCAACAACTTCTGTCCTTCCTCTTGAGCTGTGACAGAGCAGTGGCAGAAGTGAAAACTGGGCCCTTCCTTATGTCGCCACCCGTGCTTCTGAAGAAAAGGTCCCAACTCTTCTTGGTAGGCTGGGTCAACTGCTCTCTTGCCACCATGAATTTTCTATTAAACGTTGCTGTGTCGTCTGTCGATCTAGGAATCCTCCGTTCATCTTTCTGAATGATTCAACGGAGCCCAAGTGCCAATATTTCACCGGGAGGTGCCCCGTTGCCCCCAGGACATTCGTGAGGGGTAAAGGAACTACATTTAGGCCCTCCATGGCTTGAAATAATTACGATATTTATAAGGGCCGGCCCAAACATTAGTCAAAGTGAGGCGGCTGCCTCAAGGAACAGCTTATTTTGTGTGTCCTGGCCCATAAAAGAGCAGGAATCGCTAGTTGTTTACATTTTTTTTCCCTTCGGTTGTCGCTTTACGGCCAGGGTTGTAGGGAAGTATTTGTGGGGTTTTCTGTCACAGGTGCGAAAGCTTGAAGGGGCTGAGATGCTCTGTACTTTCAGTTGCCGAAGCAATGAGCTGCTCTGCCTCAAGCGGCAAAAAGGCTTGGCTCCATCCTCAGAGCTTCTATTTTACAAGCGGACAATTTCATTTAGTGGGAGATGGATCGAGGCCCCGAAATTCTGTTTGACTTGCACCTCAGAGGCAGGTCAAGAACAGCAAAGGGGACTCTGCCACCAGACTACAGCGTTGCCTTCACAGAAGCCTTCCTGGGCTACCAGATTTTTGGAGAAAATACCTCCCTTCCTTGGGTTTGGGTCAGGAGGGATTTGCGCCACACACGAGCCAAACACACTTTTGTGCTTTAATCAGTTTCAAAATGATGGTTGAGTCATAGCCAGGAAACCCGTATGTGTTTACATAGCACTGTTCATTCCAGCTTAAAATTAGTTTTCAGATCAGCGATTTCTTTTCACATCTATTTTACGGACTGGCATGTTTGAGGGCCCCACCTCCCCATGTCACCACCCAGAATCATCCTCACATTTTGCAATGAAGTAATTAGATAACACACCTCTCCCTTTCTGCCCCTTCTCTTTTTGTTGTTGTTGGGACGTAAGGCTGTGGGGGGGGGAGGTGACAGCCATTAATGTGCTTCCCCTGTACACATTTAGCACCATTAAAAATAGCCACCAGAAACCACAATCAGAATCCTGAAATCTAGCCACAGGAAACAGAAATGCCGATATTGCAAGCAGGGGAAAATTTTGAGAGCAATGAGCTCAAAAGCCAAGGCTCAGCACAGCCTTAAATTGCTTAAGACATTCAGGAGGGAGGATTTGCCTCAAACACATATCCCTTGGAGATTTCAGGAAAGCAGCAGAAACTTTTTTGAGATGTGTCAACATTTCAATCTCATCCCATCAGAACAGTGCATTTTAACAGCACTTCCTTGAGGGTTTCATAAAAAATTGCCTGCCAACTTTACAGAAGTTGGGAAACTTTAGGAAAGTCTGGAATAAAAACCATGGGCGCTTTTGAGAATAGTTGATTTTTAGCATGTCTACATGACTGAAACACCGATGTCTATGTCTATATGTTGCCGTATATGCTAAATAAAACGGAGCCCGTTTGGGGATGGCATCTTTGAGGGCCACGGAAAAGAGGAGGAGAGAGGCGTTTGAGATGTGGCTCAAACCCCAGCTCCTGACCGTGTCCTCAGACCATAAAAATTTGGGTTCCCAGCCCTACATAACAACTCATCAGAATCATCCTCTTCATTCCAGCTAAATTAATGAAAACACAGCCTGTTGGAGCCATGTTTGCACAAAAACAGTGGCATAAGCATTCTGGGGGGCCCCCTCGGAGAATTAAGTGGCTTTCCCCACCCTCACCCCTTGTCCCCATTTATACTAAAAACATCCACTGGTTGCCTGTGACTCAAAGACGGTCAAGGGAGCGGGGCAGTCACCCTCCTAGTTGAACTCACACTCAAAACGATAGTCATGGGACTTCAGATTCCTCTGGAGTAGAGTTCTCCTGCTTTGAGGTGTCATCCAAGGACCCCCATAAAGAACGAAGAAGCAGTGGCTGAACAGAGGCAGGAAAAAACTGGGGGCCGTCCGTATCAGGGCAAAGTGCTCTCGCTCTTGTTATGGAGAATTCTGTGTGCATTTCAAGAGCTGAGAAATGAGGTGCCTGCAACGCCTTCCACCTCACTTTCCATTTTGTGCAAGGGATGCTTAGCGTCCTTCTGAGCTCAGCCAAATCGGGGCGATGCACAGGGAACAGGACCCTCCTCCTTTCAGGAAAACAAGCACAGTGCCAAACATCTCAGATCCTATGCATTCAAGGGCACGCTAATTGCACACATACTTATCTCTAGAGCGGATAGAAAGCCAAGTATTAACTTGGTCATAAATCTCTCCGAAATACTTGGAAGAACATTTCCAGCCGGGGACATTATAAATGTGTGGATTGTATCATAAGGGCTGAAGGAGACAACACAATTAAAGTGTCATTAGAAGTGACGTCCTTAAGGGGGAAAAGACTGTCAATGTTATTCTAAAAGAACCCCGATCCAGTCCACATTTGGCAAATTAGCCCATGTTTGCATTGCAGCTGGCCCTTAGGTACAGCTTCATTTTTTTGTCTGATTTTTCCGGCATGTAGTTCTGAAAGATTTGTATGCCCGGCAGGATAATGCTGTGAGAGAAGGAAATATCCATTTGCCTTCGTGTGCGTGATCCAAGCCTTAGAACCTCGAAGACTTTGCAATCTTTATTTTCCGCCACTGGGTTTTGGGATGTACTCATTTCTCATTTTCAAAATAGATCAGCAACCCAGAAATACAGGGCATTGACAAAACGTAATCCTTTCCCAGCTACCATCCCTTGAGCGGTTGCAACACGCAGCTAAATCATGTTCAACTTGTGACTAACTGGAAATTTAAGATCTTCGTCACGTGTTCCCTGCTGAGCCAGGTTGTCTGCGCTTCATGATCATTATTCTTGTTGAATACACCCGATGCAACAAACACGTTTTTCATTGCTGAGAGCTGGTTATTCAAGTGCCAGATATTGCATTTGGAGAAACATAACAGGTAAGAAAAGTGAGATTACAGATTTAAAAAAAGCCAAAAAAAACCCCAACCATATCCTTGAAGGTCTTTCACTGCATGCAATGGGGAGTATGAATGATAAGAAAAGGCATCAACACACAAACATGGGAAGATGTAATTTAGTTTAATAAATTGTCATTAAGAGAACCCGTCCTTGTTTTGAACATGTATACTTTCTTTGGCGCATGACCTCATACAATGTTGCTGTTGTCATTTGGAAGAACATGAATCACAGCAAAGCGAGATTTTATTTAAATTTTATTTTTAAAAACATATTTGCCACATGTGGAATGTCGCATTTGTTCACTGTCCAGTTTTAGCTTGCTGGTTGTGTTTTGGTGTTTCATTCCGTTTATGCTTCCCTGTCTTCTGAAATAGTTTCTCTTCACCAACTTCATCCCTCGACCCCCGGAATCTGTGCCATCCGCACATCTCATGCTGGTTTCTCCGACCGCTTCATCCCAACACTGTTGAAAAATAAAGGGCAGAATCCTGCAGCAGGTCAAGGAAAGCCTGCTTCTAGTTTTACGAGGAGCCACTCACTGGGGAGCATCTAATGCTGGTTTTCCAAGCAGCTAAAAATCTGTTCAATGCCACTTAAATAAGAATCAGATGCCATCAAGTCGGTTCTGACTTAGGACGACCCTTTTCAGGGTTTCCCAGGTACGGAATACTCTTAAGCAATTCTCCATTCCATTCCTCCATCCCAGGGGTGCCCTGGGACCTCTGTGCAGCTTGCCCAAGGCCACAGAGGCTGGCTCTAACTCAAAGGAGACCCTGGAGAGGGAGGGGGAACTGAACTCCCAATCTCTGGCTCCACAGCCAGAGGCTTAAACCACTGAGCTATCCAGCCAGCTCAAATAATAAATAATTGCATGGTGTTAACTCCATTCTGACACTTTTCAGGGTTTTCTAAGTAGAGTACTAAGAAGTGGTTTCCCATTCCCTTCCTTTAGGGGGAGCCCTGGGACTTTTCAGCTTGCCCCCCCCAGGCTACCCAGGCTGGCTCTTCTCCCAGGAGGCTTAGTGGGGGAAGCGAACTCCCAACCTCTGGCTTGCTCTGCAGCCAGAGGTTTAAACCACTGAACTATCCAGCCAGCTTAGCTCCTCTTTTAAAGTAATTTACCAGCCAAAACATCCTGGAGAATCTTGCCCAATGATTTGCTGACACCAAGGTAAATTACACCCAGCATTCCCACACTCCACTAAGCTGTAGGAGAAGCCCTGGCCGTCCCTACAGCACTGCCTGCTATTTTCACAACAGAAACAAGAAAAAAAAGATGCTTGGAGGGTGACCGGAGAAGGACCCCTTGCATGTGACTCAACCTGTTGCCTTCTGATGAAAGGAAAGGACAGAGATATGCTGGTCTGACAATCTTGGAATTTAATGGTTTGTGCAAGTTCCTCCCGCTTACCCGTTCAGCTCTGCCTCTGGCTCTTGTTGGCAACAGGAAGCTGACAACATTTCGACATTTTACAAAGAAAGGGGAACTCAGCCCAGTGGCTCGTTTGGAGCCCCCGAACAAAAGCAAACATCTTTGGCCCCGGCCCCAAGGTTAAAAGGGTTTAAATTCACTCGTCCTTTGAAACAAAGCGGAGATGCACAATCCTGGTTATGTGTTGCAATTTAACAGAATGACACCACTTGGGTCTTGATACAAGTTTAATTCACATCCTCAGATGGATTCTTCATCCATGAAATCAGCCAAGAAAAAGATGGGGCAGGATAGGTGATAAAAGAGCCGGTGGGACTTTTGTAACCCTTTCGCAAGGGTGGAAAATAAATTTGCCTTAACGACCAAATTTTCCAAGCATTTAAGGTGGCAAGTGGTCAGTAAAGGAAAGAATCCCATTGGAGTCGCAGGTCTTTTTTTGGAAATTGTTCCTTGCGATGACCCTGAGCGGGCTTAGGTTATCTTCTACACCACGGCCATTGATCACCGCAGTCTAGTCATCTCTTGGCAGACAGAGAAGAAGACCTTGACCCTGAGCGGGCTTAGGTTATCTTCTACACCACGGCCATTGATCACCACAGTCTAGTCATCTCTCGATTGTGCTTGCCGAAGCTACAGCTGGGTTTCGCCAGTTTTGTCTGTGCATGGAAGAGTCCCCAGGCCACTGTATAGTCGGAAGCAGCAGAGTTCAACCAGAGTGTGACCACTCAAGGGCAAGTAACACAGTCAAAGAATTTCATATCATTGTTTCGTAAAATAGGAGGATAACCATTGCCTCTTGGTTTTGATCCTTGTGAAGAGGACTTGGGACGAGCCAAGTAAACATGCACCAAGTAATGGATGTCAGAAGGGAATCTGCCAGAGAAGTTTAGATGAGCCTTGGGGCGCAGTGGTTAAATCGCTGTACTGCAGCTAAAACTGTGCTCATGACCTGGGGTTCAAATCCCAGGTAGCCGGCTCAAGGTTGACTCGGCCTTCCATCCTTCCGAGGTCGGTAAAATGAGTACCCAGCTTGCTGGGGGGGCAATGTGTAGCCTGTATAATTAAAACTTGTAAACCGCCCGGAGAGTGGTTGTAGCGCTATGGGGCGGTATATAAGTCCAAAAAAGAAAGGGGGGGGGCAAAACACTGGAAACGTCAAAGCTTTGGGACCCGAGTTGTAGGGTGCAAAAGAACAGAGGCAGATTTTTGATGGCATTTCTTCCAGACTGCTCTATCCATTTACTTGGAAACTTCATTCTCTGGAGAGGAGATTTTGCATGCAATGTGCATGAGAAACCAGCTTTTTGCAAAGTTATCTAGAAAGCCAGTGCTTTATCCACATATTGGCATTATATCAAATGGATGATTTAAAAAAATATTGTTTTCCATAGGAAACAGAAGTTGCTTAAACTGGTATCTAGAGGGCGTGTGAAGACGTAAAAGACAAAAAAAATATGAAACACTAACGGGTGGTGAAAAGGGGATGTAGTGGAGGGGCCCTACGATTTAAAAAGTGAAATAAAACAGACATAATTCTAACAAAGTACAAGCCGCCTCTGGAGCAAAATCTTTGAAGAAAATAACATGGGATTTCACTGTACTGGATTATCGTGAGACTAAATGGCTTTAAAACCCACATATGAATAGGCAAAGTTTACACTGAGCTAAAAACAGCCCTGTCTAAAGCATACTCTGTTTCCCTGAAAATAAGACCTAACCTGAAAGTAAGCCCTAGTATGATTTTTCAGGATGCTCGTAAAATAAGCCCTATCCCCAAAATAAGCCCCGGGTAAGTGAAATCCCGCCCTCCACCCTTGTACAGCAACCAGAAGATGATGACAGGACTGCATTTGAATAAACGTAGATTGTACGTGAGAAAAATAAAGCATCCCCTGAAAATAAGCCCTAATGCATTTTTGGAACAAAAATTAATATAAGACCCTGTCTTATTTTTGGGGAAACAGGGTACGTGTATATAAAATAATCTGAGGGCAGACGGAAGACTAATGTTCTCTGCCTTATTTTTTTAAAAAATCAGTGCGACACAGCTCAGGACCAGCCACTGCCTTCCTTGAACTGCCCAGTTTGGTAAAAACGACCCTTCCTTTTCCACCTAAGTATCAAGCTGGAGAATGAAGGAAAAGCAGTCCCTCCCTCACAGTAGATTCCCGAGTCTTTCTTTCTTTCAGCCCGGAAACAGTTCTCTGAATTCCTCCGGATTCGCGGCTGGGCGGGTCTCAAGACGTCTCTATTTCTGAGGCTTCTTCTATGAAATTTGCAACAGGGCTGAGCAGCAGGAGGGGAAACAGTTTGGAGTCCCCACTGGCGTCCTCTGAGAGGAGAGGCTGCTCCAGCGGCAGCTCAGGAAAGCTCACGCCTGCTTGGCTTCCGGGGTCCAGCAGCAACTGAGGGCTCTCTTGGCCAAGAGGAACAGGGCCCCCGCTCTCCGGGACAACCTCTTCGGCCTCGCCCCGCTGGCACGCGTTGTCGCCGGAAGCAGGCTCTTCAAACAGCAAAAGCAACGGGTTCCCCCGGTACTGGATCACCTGCATGTCTGTGGGGAAAAGAGCGGTCGGTGAGCCAGGAGGCAGAAGCTCGTGAAGGCCCAAGCCAGCGGCCCCGAGCACGCCTGGAGGGACCACAAATGCTGCACCTCCAGCCAGAACTTTCGTAGGGCCTCAAAAGGTTCAGCCAACCTCACACGGAGAGGATGTGGCTGGGCCCGTGAGAAACGAAGGAAGAAAACCTCATGGACCTACAGATTTTCAGGTTTTCTGGACTACTAAACCCTAATTCTCCATTCTGACTGGTTCTACCTGGCAGACACCCAACTGAGACTCACCTGGGCGAAAGGCCTAAACAGGAAGTCTCTGCGGCCTAGCCCGGCCTAGCTTCCTGTTCAGAAAGAAAACAAGCTCCCAGGTAGCACCAGGACAGGAAAACTAGGCCCAGCCCAGCCCTACAGCCTTCCACAATTTCTCTCAAGTAAGCCACATTTAGGTGTTTGTAAGGGGTCTGTGAGGTTAGAAGAACTCCCAGAAGGGAGAACCATGGCATTTCTACTCCAGAAAATACCAAAATACCATCCCTAGCCTTTTCTTATTTATAAGAAGGAACACGTCCCTGATCCAGTGAACTTTAAAGTGTAAATGGAAAAATGCTCTTCTAGCTTCTTACATGAGAACTTGCCGGGCTAACCCAGAATACTTTCAACCCAGAGAGGATAACTTCTAAAATTCACTTTTATCCAAATGCAGGATAAACTCCCTTGCCCACCAAAAATCAGTTTAGAACATCAATACGGTAGCACTGAAACTTGGACAGCTAGTAAAATAAAAGACAAAAATAAAAGTCACTTTTCCTCTTTTACTGCTGTGTGCACCAATACTGACTTTTGGAGGGGGTTGTTGGGGAAACAAACTCAGACGCAACAGCAACCCATAATCCTGGTCTACCGTTATGTACAAACTCAAACTCAGTTTAGTTACCATTGCTAGCAGCAATTAACCCTTCTATTAACTAGTGCTAGCAACAAGACCAGACTTTCAGGTACCCAAATGGGTGAAACCCCACGTGGTCTGAACAGGCCTCTCCTGCTGATGCAACCACGCTCAGCTTCTTAGGCTGCACTAGGAACCTGCATATGAATCAGGTTTCCAAAGCAAATTCACAATTTTTCCTGCAGCTCACCGTTCTTCTCCGCTGATCCCTGCTCATTCATGCCAACTTCGTCTCCATTTTCTGGCATACCTTCTGTCTAAAGAGAAATGAACACCAAGAAAAACTTATTTCAAAAGCTTTGCTGGTCAGTTGCTTTGATGTACCTCTGCACAAGAGTCACTGCGTGTAGATTTATATACAAGAAACAGAAACACTTAAAATTACACCCATTGAAACCAAATATTAGGCACTGACCTCAACAGTGCTTAATTTTGGTTGCACTGCAATCGAACATTTAAAATAAAATACATGTTTCGTATGAAACTTGTTTCATCAATGATTAGAAAAACTTTGCCACTTACATATTACGCAGTGATTTGTCTCCCTTAGTCTTGCATCTCGAGTCATATATTTTCCTGTCTTCTGTGGCTCACATTTTTCTTTCTCTCCCACTATTCTACACAACACACTCCTATGGCTGTTATCAAGGGCACCACTAACTCTCAATACCAGCTTCTGATCTCTTCCATACATCAGCTATAATCTTGGGAGGTTCAAAATTACTTTTAATACCTCTTACCCGGCTGATTCTTGTTTAGCTGGAGAGCTATGTCTACTTGTTAGAACCACAGCTCCAAGTCCATAAAAGGTAGACACTTCAAACTTGGCCTGCATATAGGAGGACCCTAGAGGCACGCAACTATGGGTTATTTGGTTTCCAAAATGCATTAAGTAATTCTGATTAGCTTAACAGTCCAGTCAAATAGTCAAACCTTGCAATATTATTTTCAGACACTAGATGGCAGACTTTCCTAACTAACACATAACTGTTCATTTGATATTTTGAAGCCTACAGAAATAGTCTGAGAGTTTGAAAGTGGTACCCTTGCAACAAGTGGGCAGACCCTTCACAGAGGGAGCTGCCCCATTGTGTCGTACAGCCGCAGCTACACTCTGGTGGAGTAGGCACAAAATGTCCAGTTGTTGGAGCGGACTAAAAGGAGCTCTTCTTAGCAACACTCACAAAGCCAAGGTCGCTGGTGGAAGCTGCCAAAGTTCTACTCCAATTAGCAGAATCCAAACCATCCTGGAAAAGGAGCTTATTTAAAAAGAAAAATAAAAACAGCATTTCTTCTCAGAACGTCTAAGAACAGGAGGATTTAGATTTGGCAAAGCTTTTTTGCAAGTTTAAACCTGTTGCCCTTAAATTCTGCAAACCCTTCAGGAACCTACGAGGGACCTTGCACTGAGACCGATTCGCTCCTCCTACAACACTGCGCTAGTCCATGAAACAATACCACAAATCTTCTGTTAGCATCAACCGCCCCTTATCTTATCTTCTCAAATATTTGCTGGAAGGCCTTCTTTGTCATTCCAGAACCCAGAGGGCTGATGGAATGGCCACCACCTTATTATCCTTACTCCATTTGTGTGACTTTAACAGCCAAAATATAAAGTAATTTAGGAGCAAAGATTTTTCCTAGCACTTATCTAACTATCAAGAAGATGAACAACCCTTAAAGGTCCAGGAAAACAGTAGCGGTGAGGAGGGGAGGAAGAGCAAACCCTCTGAACAAGTTACTGGCAACCACAGGTTGTAAAGAGAAATATGGGCAGCTTAGAAGAACCAGGCCGAAGGGCAGAAGTGAGACTGTATTCAAGAAAAGATGATCTCCTTTCACCATACGCTCCTTCTGAAGTGTGGCGAACCCTGAACTTCAGGGTTCGCCACATCATCCAGGATGATGCCGGAAAATGGTGTGGCCCAACAGAGGTTCAAAGAGAAAACCCCTGTCCACACCATGTCAGGTGGAGGAACTGCCTTGCTCCAAACTTAGGGGGCAGATCTCATGTCTCCCCTCCAGAATGGCTCCTGCCCAAAGTGGGGGGGGGAGTGCCTTTGAAACTCAAGCAGCCACAGCCACGCTGGGGCAAAGTAAAGAAACCCCGTACTCCTTTTACCCGGCTCTTTTCATCCGGCACAAGAACAGACAACCATGACTCTGATCTCAAACCCAGCGTCTCCTAACAATGCCTACATTTCCTGCTTCCGTCCCCACAAGCCACGAAGGAAGTGCTTCCAACTTACATTTTCCAAGCCAGCTGGAGCCTCTGACAGGCTCACATCCAAGACAGGAAGTTCTGGACTGAAAGTCTGAAGGCAGAAAGAGGAGACAAGGCATGCCGTCAAAAAGGTACCACTGTGATTTTTTGGATCAAAGGAGGTGCCTGTCAGCTTAATCGCCAATGCGAGTTCTCCCTTTTCTTACCCGAGAAGAAATGCATTGTCTACAGTGGTGCCTGGGTGTGATGCTGGATGGCATCACATTTAAAAAAGGAAAATATCTTTCCGTTTTCAACCTCTGGTTCCACTAAACTGATCAATTAATTCTGTGCAACACAGAGAGAGACAAGCAGCCCAGGATGCAAAAATCACGTAGAGGCTTGGTATATTAGTGACACCCCCCCTCAATCCCGAATCATGGAGAGAGAGGGAAGGATGATCAGAAGACTCCAGTTACCCGGCCCCCCCTGTGGTTTAGAGACTGTCCCCAAAGCAGCCTGACGACATGCTCATTTCCATTCACAAAAGGCTCCTTTTGCTCTCTGCCAGGGCGTGACACAGAAAGGCAGTAACGCCACGACTGCCGGTCAGACCCGACTGCAGAAGTGGAGCTGACCCTCTCAGAGGAACTCACATCAGGAAGCGTTTCTGATGCGTAGCTTAATTTCTTCCCCGACAGCATCGCTTGCAACTCCTCGAGGCTTGCGTCGATGCAGTTCAAGAAGTCCTGGATCTCCTCCCTGGGAAACAAAGGGAGGAGAACTTAAGAAGGGAAGAGAAAGCAGGGCAGAATCACAGCCTTTCTGGAAGACTCTACAGGAGACCAGCAGCACAACCGCCGCAGGGACACCGATCCGATTCCCGACCCTTCCCAAGGATGCCAGCCGCCAGCCCTCCGACTTTTTACCTGTCTAGCAAAGGATCGCTCTGGGTCACCGGCTGGTTTTCATTCAAGATGGAGTCTATCACTGCGTCAGCATCTTCAGTCGAGCCAGCTGGCGCAATATGAAGCTCCACCGCGCCTGTTTTGAGTGGAGGGTCAGCAAGCGGAACCAGGCCATCACCGTCTGGGACCCCCAGCTCGGATGTTGGTAGTGCTCTGCAGCCAGAAAGACTCTCTCTTGGGATCTCCTGCGCCTCTCTGAGGAAGAAAAAACACCAGAGGTTGAGAATCAAGTTCCTTCAGAGAGAGAGACACACTTTCCTGGACAAATCAACCCCCAAGGAAACCACAAACTCCATGCCTTGGTATCGCCAGGGGTCGGTCCACCTCGTTGGACTAACTACTAGACGCCCTAGAAGAAGTTCATGAGAAGGTGCCCTCCAGCATGTCCTGCCTCTCCCTCAGCATCTCTTCCATAGACTTCCTCCTCTTTCTTTTGCTCTAAACACCACACCACCCACTGAGCCCCAATTTCCAGCATCTGGATCATTTGAGAAACAGCCAGTTAGTGTGGCCTAAAGACCAGCTGAGATGCTGGGACCGAGAGGAGGCGCCTTCTTTCCTGTGTCCTCACCGGTTTCCACTGGACGTGTGCACCAGCGCCAGCAGCTTCTCTGGGCCACCTTCCTCTTCCTCCTGAGAATCTGTGATGTCACGAATTATAATAGAGTCCTCACAGTCCAGACCATGCTTAGAAATAGCTGCCTAAGGACAAAACAGTGCCAGGATTACGCCATCTATCATCTTATTCCCTATTGAAATATTTCACTAGTTTTTATTTTAATCATGTACAGTAGTGATTCCTTCTACTGAGTCAGGGGAACGAAGAGACAGAGAGAGATGAAGTTGAAATGTATTGGCTGAAATCCAGTGGAACCTAGGGAGGAGTTGACTCATCAAATCCCCAGATTCAATGGGCTTACTCTAGTTGAGACTTGCTACTGGATTCCAGCCACAATCGACATTTCACCCTCACACCTAATGGAAAAACAAAGCAGAACAAAGACCGCCTTACTGAGTCACGATCTTCCACAGGAATGCGAACGTAGGAGCGGCTGTATTTCGAAGACGAGCCACCTGAAGCGTCGGCCAAAGGTCTAGAAGGAAAAGGAGACACACACCACTGCATTCTTATAAGCAGGCAGCAATTCAAAACCTCTTATCCTACGGCATTCATATGCAGCCACCTCTATGTTAAATCTAAGGGTTTCCTTTGCAGGATCCCCGAACATTTTAAGAAGGGCTCCCTGAGAAAGACACTGAAAAAGAGGAAGCCCTTCACAGTTTTCGGGCAATCACCTTTTCCTCTTGAGCCCCAAAATGCAGTTTCCTCTCATCAAGCCGAGGATGAATTCCAGGATCTGGAGAAAAGAGAGACACCATCAGGAACCAGTCTTTAAAGGAAGTTTGAAGCTGCCCTTGCATGCCTTTCAACAAATGTGCAAAACCTCTTTATGGGGACTGAATACTTAAAGAGTGCAGCTGGTTTGAAGGGAAGCCTGCGCAGCAGAGCACCTCAGAGTATCCAAAAGGACTGGATTAGCTGCTCCTTTACAGCTCTGTTGCATTAAAAATAATAACAATATAATACTAAAGACCTTTCACATCTCCACCCTTTTTCTATGGGCAACCCCTCTTCGTTCCAGCCCTTTTAAAACATCTGCTCGGGCTTGAAAGAGGAAAGAGCCGATGAAGACGTTTTTATGACCAGGGTGCCACCACTGGCTTCTCCACCTGCTCTGCTCCATCCTGGCCCTCCACCCCAGCCAATCTGCCACTGTCCACCCCCCCACCCCCCCTGCTCCTCAGTGACGCGTTCTGTGGCACTCAAGGCCTTGGGAAGCAGGGCCTCAGCCACCCCGAGATCCCCCCTCTTTTGTGTGCAGGGGCTCCCCTTCCGGCTACTGAACAGCTGGACTTCTTCTCCTTAAGCCTGTAAGCAGCAGGATCCATGACTCTTTAAACGGCGGTGGTGGATCCCCAGTGAACTAAAGCCGTGGCATTCAAGGTTGCTTTCCCCCCTCCGCCCCGTTGCTTCCTCTACACCACTCTGCCCTGCTTCCCCTCTCCAGGATTTATGGGGCCCTAAGTGGCTACCTCGGAGAGGAAGCTTTCCTTCCTTGAACTCCCCACTTATTTTCACACCCAAGCCATTATCTTCTGGAAAGGACCAAAAAAAACCAAAAAAACCCTGGACCAGCTCCTTCCACCTGTGGATGGTTTCTCTCTTTCTCTCTCTCCGTTTCTGAAATTCTCTAGAGCAGCAGATCCCAGCCTTGGGTAATCCAGAGGTTCTTGGACTACAACTCCCAGAAATCCCAGCCAGCCCAGTGAGTGGCAAAGGCTTCTGGGAGTTTTAGTCCAAGAATATGTGGGGACCCAAGGTGGGGAAACACTCCTCTAGAGTAAGCTTCCGCCCCCCACCTCCGGTACAGTCACCTTGGACAAAAGCTGCTGCTGCTGACTGTGCTTCTGTCGCAGAGACGCCACTTCCTTGCAGAGCGCTTCGTTTTCCCTGAGGAAAAAAAACACACACACACAAAACAGAAGGAAGTGAAAAAAGGAAATGGAACCTGGCACGGCTTATTCAGCACTGGCTTTTTAGTTTCCACCCGAGCTGGCCCACGTCAAAAGACACAGACCTGTCCCTGGAAAAGACCTGCACGTGACATTGGTAGGCAGGCCCTCTGTTTACCGAAGGGACCCGACCGTGGGGGGACCGGCCTTCCTTCTTATTCAGCAGCACAGTCAGTCGGAAACTGAGGGCTGGAGGGGCCCCCCAACCACCACCACCCAAAAAAAGGCCCACAGACCACAACAGAGAAACACGAGACACCGAAGGGAGAAGGACCTGAGCTGCAAGGCTGACCACATCGGAAGGGGACACAGATCCAAGAGCGCCAGCTCCTAGTTCCAGCCAGGGCCCAAGGCAGAGAAACGCAGGCCCTGAGCGCGGCTGAACGCCATCCAGGAAAGGAGACAACGTGTCACAGGCCGGCTCCCACACCAATCGTGAGGAATGGGCTTCAAGAGAGGGAGCAGATCGATCACGCACGAGGAATGGGCTTCAAGAGAGGGAGCAGATCACGCACAAGGGCAAATGCTCTGGAGGCAGCATCTTATAAGCCCTGAACACAACCTAGTGTGTGTGTGGGGGGAGCGTAAGCCATAAAGCACGGCTCAGCACCAAGCATATAACACACATTGCAGGGCTCACGCAAATGCTCTGGAGGCAGCATCTTATAAGCACGGTATCTGCTTCTGCGCTGCTGGAGAATCCAGCCACGCTGAGCCCTGAACACAACCTGGGGCAAGGGGGGGGGCGTGGTGTGACCCCCTCCAGCCACCAAAGAGGGAGGGGGGAGAAAGCCATAAAGCACGGCTCAGCGCCAAACCCGTAACACATTGCAGGGCTCACAGGAAAGCGACAGCTATACCTCTTCATACTGGCCAGCTTGAGGTCCATGTTGCTCTGCTGCTCCCTCATGTCCTGGACCTCCGAGAGCACTTTGTGCAAGTCCTCCGGGCAGACCTTGAGGTCTTCGGCTCTGACGGCAGACACCTAGGGCAGAGTCAGGGGGCAGGAGGCGGACGTTTTTGAAGGGAACAGGCGCCAGTCGTGTTTAATAGGGAACAAATGCAATTAACTAGATCAACGGCCAAGGCAATCTGTTTTCAGGAAACCAGGGGAACAGATAGCCTGAGGAGCTGGCGCTTCAGATGCCCACTCCACCCAAGTGAGCCAGCCTCGGACCCTCGGCAGTGGTCTTATGGCTTGGAGAGACTATTATTTCTATGGCTCACGTTGGCACCAGTGAGGAATACCAGGAAACCACAGGTTCCTACGACGTCATGGGTCTACAGACTGCAGAAACTAACTCTGGACCATACAACTCCGGGAGCCCAAAGCTAATTCCACAAATTTAATGCAGCATTAAAATTGGGTTTCTTGCCACAGCATGGCCAAGGACAGGACAGATGACATAAGCGTTCTTCTGTCATGTCCATTTCTGGTGCTCAGGCACCCATTTTCGACACCAAGAACTCGTCTCAAGCTTAAGAACAAGACAGGAAGATGCCCTGACGAAAGCATCTCAGGGAGAGACGCATTTCTGAAACTGCAGATTCATTCACCGACAAGCCGTATTTCCTTCCAGAATTCTGTACCGAGCGAAGCAGAATTTTGCTGCCAGCCATGATAACTCCTAATTAAGGGAATTTTCCACTCCCTCCCCAGGAGTAGAGATCCTGCAAGTCAAGGAGGGAAAACATTTCCTACCAGCCTCCATGAGGGGATGTTCGGTTTCTGCCTGCAATGCGGCAGCCGTCCTCTGACTCTTTACAAAGGCGGTACTTCCCAATTTTATTGCAGCTCCTAAACTCAGCAGGGAAGCCCGGCGGCCATTTTCAGTGCCGTTACGAGCATTCCTGGTCATAGTACGGCAACAAACATGTTTACCGGCTTGTTCTGTGGCGTGGGAGAGTCTTTTTCCTGGCACAAAGACACAACGGGTTTGATCTGAGGGTTGAGACCTCCCCACCCCCAGAAAACCCTCTGACTCATCTGATGAAAGAAGGGAGACTTTATGTAAAAAATCAGGACAGCCAGCAACTCCAGAAGAGTTCTCAGACCAGCCGAGACACGGTTGCCACGTTGCAAGCGCATGTGAACTAAATCCACGGCTGCCATTTTGCAACTGAGAACAAGTAATTGGATCCAGGACAAGTGATCAGGCTCGGGACGGTTTCTGCTCCGTTTGCCTCCCTGCTCTCTGAGTTTACTTCTCAAGAGTGGCAATTGGACCACAAAGGTTTGGAATTCCTGACCGGCCCCCATCACTCTCCCATGTCGGCATGGCTGGTTTTATTAGCTTAGGGAGGCAACGGACGTGCAGAAACCTGAAACGAGAGGAACTCTGTGGAGCAGAGAGTCACAAAGACGGCCAAAGAGAAATGGTTCTGAGGTTCATGCCGCAGCAGGCGGCCTTCACGCAAGTCTCACAAAGAGGTTTGGAATCAAACGTTGAAAGAGTTGCTATCTATCCTTGACGGTCTAGGAGCAAGACAGTTGCATGCACAACGAAACAAGATTAAATAAATCACTTTGAAACACCTCAAACAGTTTTCACGGAACGCATCTTTGCTGACTTTCCTTTATGTGCTGCTAGCTTCGTCTCTTCTGCAAAGAAGGGGCTTTAGAGGAAGTCCACAAATCTTGTGTTAAAGTAATAAATGGGGACACCCCTAAACTGCACTGCCAGGGCTTTCGTGGCAAAACTGCACCTTCTTCCTTCTTACTCCTTGTGCCCGGTTGAGGGGGCAGCCGTTACCATTCCACAGCTGCATCACAATTCATAGCCCCTGCATTTTACGGCAAGTCGCAAAGGGCGCACCGGGGGGGGGGAGAAAGGGAACAATATTCCTACCTTCCGTTTGATGTTTGCCAGCAGGTTGGCTCTCCCTCGCTTGAAAAAGGGGTGCTGGAACTCAATGGCAGGGTTCTTGTCCGAGACCATCATCCCGTTCTCTAGAGCGATCACTTTCCTGAAGCCATCTGTGAAGGCAGCGGAGAAAATCTGTCAGCTCCTCCTGTCTATCTCACAAAGAAACATGAAGTCAGACTTTTCCCCTTCCTCACTCGTAAGCTCCCCCCCTGCACAGCCACTATATGACAGGTACGAGGGGGCAACCACGGCCGGGGTCATTCTGAATGGACAGAACCCACACCGATCACCTTCCACTTGCTGCCAGCCTGATGGTCAAGAAGCGGAATGGATCCCATGACGTCTCTCCTTCTGGTCTCGGCCATATCATAAAATACCACTGGTTCAAAAATACAGAAGCAGCTAATTGAGTCAAGACCAGGGCCCTCACAGGGTGCAACCTTACAGGGTTAAATCCAGTGTCACCTGCAAGGGACTTAAAGCCACTGAAGGGACCCAAAGTGAAGGAGACCTATAGATTTGCTTTTGCTTCCAATCAACCAACCACTTGGTCGATCCCTGTGGCTTTGGTGGAAATTAAAAGATGTATATAAGAGTGTGTTATTTTTCCTTTCGAAGAGTTAGAAACACTTGTCATGCCCTTAGTTGGGGAAAAAAATTGAAAAACCCCTACACTATAATCAATGAAATCTGGATTATTCTGCTTTCAGCTCCACAGAAGAACGAAGCTTTGAGGGTTATCTTGCACATCTCAAGGCTTCCTCTCTCCACGAAGGAACCCGAAACGATGTCACCAGTGCCCGATTATTATGGGAAGCAAATGTGGGCAAGAAGGGCGAGTCTCACTAGGATTCAGGCTGCATGTATTCTCTGCTACCTAAGTCGTCATTGTGAGGAAAGAGAAAAACAGGCAAACCCCAAAATCGAGATGGATGCAAAACAGAGATTTGCCAGGCTCGGTGCAAGCTCTCAAGGGCTACAGCGGAAGCAGCCCACCAGAGGATGCCCAGGTCATAAATTATAAAATAATTAGCTCCTCCAATTCCTTGGATCACGTCAGTACTCCTCCTTCTGTGCTAAAAACGGCATACAGAGATCAGGAGTTATTTTCAGCCACCATTTAAAATGATACGATGAGGTGGCCGGCAGGTCCTTCTGGTGACATCCCAACTTTCTGCTCCTCATGATTCATGTTTTCTGGCAGCCGCCATATCATCGTTCGGCTTCCGTTGAAAGCAAGCACCAAAGCCACTGAGGGATCTGGATCAACCTCACACACAGATGGCTGACCCAAACACGCAGCCTGCGTTTCAGGGAGAATCCCCTCCCCGCCCCCATCGATCCAGGAGCAAAGCAGCCAGAATATGTTTCCTTATTCTTTCCAGAATTTTCTTAAGTCATCACTGGAAGACTGGCATCTTTGCACTGCTTGATGCTACCAGAGAGAACGTTCTTTCTTTTTCAATCATCTATAACAACCCAACCTTCTCCCAAGGAGTTCAGAGATGGTTCCCTCCGTGTCATGGAACCCTCCCAACATGTGACACTGGCTGAAATCCTTTACCTTTTTTATACAAGCAGTAGGTAAATAGTGTAACATTTACGCACTTCCAGCCAGCAATTAAAGAGTCCCTGCTCAGGTACTCAAGCATTCACCAAACACATACACAGCCAGAATCCCACGTGCGACACATTAACTGCCAACGCGAGACCCAGTGTGGTGCAGTAGATAGCACAATGGACAAGGACTCAGGTAGCCCGGGTTCGAAACCCCACTCATCCATGGGAACTCACTGGGGAAGTGGAACCGGCAAAAACACTCCTTAAACATCCCACTTCGGAAGCCCTGCTGGAGTCACGATCGGTCGGTTCAAGTGGAACCGGCAAAAACACTCCTTAAACATCCCACTTCGGAAGCCCTCCTGGAGTCACGATCGGTCGGTTCCAACTAACCGCACATCACAACAACATGTGCTGCTCATCAAGCCCTGCTGGAGTCACGATCGGTCGGTTCCAACTTGACGGCACATCACAACAACAACAACATGTGCTGCTCATATATGGCCCCATATGCTTAAAGCACGTTCTGGGTGGCTTATAATCTTATTAGGCAGGGCACACATTGTCATGGAGTCTACCCATGCTAACAACAATTGCGCAAGCTACTAGCTGTAACCAACAGGTAATGGAGATCAGGGAGAAAAGTAGCATGGCCCAGAAGAGCTGATACTTACAGATGTTCAGTTGGCGAATAAAACTGGACAAGTTGTTGTGTTTGAAGTACTTGGGAAGCAGCTCTTTAGCAAACCTCTGCTCATCCAGAATGCAAAAGTTCTGCCCATCCTAAAAGAGTTAAGAAGTAAGAAAACTCAGCACAGCACACAAAAGCCCACAGCCGAGCTCAAATTTTGGGGCACCTACTATATATTAAATACATTTTAAGTCAGCAGTGATTGTGCTTCTGTGTGTCTCTGGAGAACGGGATTAAAGGGAAGACCATCCAGTGTAAGGATGGATCAGAGGTGGCTTGGTGGCATGTAACAACAAGCTGGGATAAACCCGCAGGGTGCATCCGGATGCCACTGGGGACAACTGCGAAAAAGGGAAATGTGTGGAATGAAGGGCAGATACTGGCTGAGAGAGAATAGTCTCCAAAGCAATGAAGCTATAAAAGGCTCCTACCCACCCTGTAGGGCTATCCCAGAGTGCCAGGATGAACGCTTACATTTTAAAACTCATTAAAGAAAATCCAATGTACATTTTTGTTACTTGTGAGATGTCTTCAAAGGATCTGGGACTGAAAAGCAGTCTGTAAGTACATACAGTTCTTAAAAGATAACATTATACACGCTAAGGGTGTGTGTATATGTACTAGGGGTCAAAGCACAGAAAGCCAGGGCAGAGAAACAAAAAGGGGACTGGTGTTAAACGAAAAGGCAGACGCGTGCTGCCTGCTAGGAGAAGGACACAGAAGGGAACATCTCAACTCCAAGGACAGAATGAACTGAACTGGGGTTAAGTCAAACCAGAACGAGGACAAAGATTTTGAAACAGTAAATTAGAAACAGAGAACCAATTAAGGAAGTGTGGGTTGGGGTTCTTTTCTGGGGGGCAGGGGAGATGTTTTTTCAGCTCTGTCATGCTGTAAAGTTTTAATGTGCAGGACAGGAATTTGGGAAGAGACAAATGAGCACAACTGGAACTTCTCCATGGACAAGCTATTTTCAAAGAGGCAACTGGGTGAGTCTGTGTCACCGTGGGCAATAAAAATAATTACCTTGAAGACTAATTGACATATTGTATTTCAAGTCTGAGGCTTTATGGATTAATTACGATCCACTTCCTCACGCCAAGGGGCAGACTGTGAGCCATCCTCCAGGTGCCAATGACGCCTGCTTTTATGATTATTATTTTTTGGGTGTTTTAAATGCTATGTGCAAAGGGAGGGCCACGATCTCACAGCTCAGCCCACTGGACAGCAGGCAAGCAAGCCCCCCCCAACTCTCCAGCTCTTTCACCGAGAACGTCAACACTATAAATATTTGAATAAGGCCACGGATACACTGAGAGAGACGCAGATGGACTGATTTGGACATTTAGGCAACTTTTAAAATGTTCTAGCCGAGAGAAGAAGCAAGGCTGAACGTGGAGCAAACCTTTCAGTGGCTCTAGTTCCTCAGCCCTGCATCTCAGCCTCTCTCTGAACGCAGCTAAAAGCCAAATGAGATTAGGCATAATCACCATTATCTCAGGAAGACAAGCCCGGATGTGCGTGCCATGCTCAACAAGATGCATTCCCCGCATCTCCTGGAGTGTTAAGGCAGAAAGACCAAAACAACCCACTCTTTTCAGTCGGGAATTTTCCCAAACCTCCGTATGGTAATAAAAATTACTTTCATAGTGTACTGTTGCATAATCCCACAATTTACTGCTGGTGGCAAACTACCGAAAAACCAGAACAAGACAAGAAAGTTTGGGTCCAAGGGTGAACCAAAGCAGTCTTTGCTATTTCAAAGAGTGGCTCAGAGAGGGATTTCTGATTTATGCCTTCCTTCAGGACAAAACAATGAAATCTGAATGCCAAGTACACGAGCTATGCTCAAAAGCACGACAGGAACCGGTGACAGGAAGCAGGAAAGGCAGTACTTAGATTTAAAGAACCAAAATGGTCTCTCGCAGTTAAAAAAATCCAAGTTCTCCTGCTAAGCTTAGTAGAACTTTGAAACTGAAAGAGAAATCTAGTGATCTGAAACACACACTGACACAGAGGTAATTCCAGGGCACAAGATTATATCCTTAAGAGCCCCTTGCAGCTCAGGCGCACGTACGCCACCCATGTTCCAGACAAGAAGAGAGGCACAATGTATAAAAATGAAGGAGTTAATACTATCAGCAATGCACAGAACAGGCTTCACACTGGGGACAAGGCTTCACACTGGGGACCAAGAAGAGAGGCACAATGTATAAAAATGATGTCTAGGAGTTAATACTATCAGCAATGCAGAGAACAGGCTTCACACTGGGGACGTACAAAATAGCAACGCCAATGTGGTTCTATTCCTTTATGGGGCAACCAAGAAAGCTGATTTAAAGACCCAAAACAGCATCTCTTCTGTCCCACAGGCATTGAATTCAAATTCTAAAAATCAACACCTCCTCACACAAAGCCAGGACCCCGAAACAGGCTGTTTGCAATGTGTGTCACTCCTTTCCCCAAACCCCACAGATGCCACTGTGAAAAGCTCTTTTCTCCTCTGCCAGCCTTCTGGGCCGCAGGGCAACCATCTCAAGAGGGTGATGTTGCCAGGAAGGAATGCAGAAGCACCCAACCCATCTGGAGGCCAGGAAAGTTCCTCTTGAGAAAAAGAGAAAGGTACAAGCAATTTAAATAAAATAAATGACTAAAGGACCATACCTAGGTATTGCACCATCCACCTACATCTGTTTCATGGAGCAATACCGATTGTCTCCTTTCCACTAAGAACTCTTGAGCTGCAAAGTTACTACCCAACGCTGGTGTTCAACAATTCCTACAGGAGCAATTCTGGGTGGCACAAACCCATTCACCTGACCTGGGAGCTAAGCCTACCAGCTTTGCACTTTGTATGTATGAAAGGACTGTCGTTGTGCAGACGGGCAAATTTTACAAGACGGGGCCAATCTGCCCTGGAAATGCTATGACTTAAAAAATAGTGTGGATTTAAAAAACCCCAACATGCATTTCAATCAGCGCCACCACACCCTTGGAGCCCATGAGATGGCCTTTGGGTGGCCCGTTCGCATATAGGGGTCCGGGGACTCCTCGTTACCAGCGTGCTGCGGATCTTGCAGCTCATTCCCTAGGCTGGATCCGAAGAGGGCAGAGCCCCTTAGCCCGACGTGCCCGAGATGGGTGCCTCTCCTGCCCGCTAGGCAGGCTTCTGCAAAAGGTGCCTTTGCACTAAAACAAACAACAACAACAGCAACAACAACAAAGCCCTTCACGCCCCAATGCACACAAGAGGGAAGCTTTGGCAAGCACGCCCGAACAGAGAGAGACACCTGTTTGCAGAAGGTGAAGCCCTGACCTGAGGAGATGCTCTGAAAGAGCCCTGTGGAAGCGCAAACACCCACCCGCACAGATACACAAGAACACCCTCTCCACGGCCGGGAAAGCCCGGAGCTGGAGACCCCCTCGGAAGCCACAGGCTTTGGGTTAATCTGGCCCTGGACGAAATCCTGCAGGGGGTCCCGTATGTCCCCCCCCCGCCACCGCCATGGCCTCTCTGCAGGGGTCCCTC